CCGGCGGGGCGGGGCGGGGCGTGCGGCCTTCGGCGCGCGAGGCGGGGCCGGTGGGCCCGGAATGTAGGCCGCGGCGCGCGGGGCGGGCTTCCTCCCTCCGCCGGCCGCGCGGCTTGAGCCTCGTTCCCTCCTCTCGCGGCCTTTGCCGCTTTCGCTCGAGTTTTCTGAACTCAGTGCTTGACCGTGTTCTGGGTGCTGTGGGGACACGGGGCGAGTCAGACGGGGACTCTTGCCCGGGCTCAGAAGGGGGGTCAAGGCCTGGGAAAGATGAGGAGACGCGCTGCCAGGGGGAAAGTGCTAGGTGCCTTTGGAAAGCTACGGGAATGGTGCGAGGGGAGGGGAGGGGAGGACGAATCGGGCCTTCTCGAGGACTCGGGATGTTTCTGGGGCCTTGGGCCACCGTGGCGGATCTGAAAACTCAACCTTGGGCCGGGCGCGGTGCCTCGCGCCTATAATCCCGGCACTGGGGGAGCCCGAGGCGAGAGGATTGCCTGAACCCACGGGTTCGAGACCAGCCTGGGCAGCTTGGCGAGCCCGCCTCTCTGCGATACATCCAGAAAAAATTAGCCGGGCATGGTGGCGCGTGCCTGTGGTTCCAGCTAGGGAGGCTGAGGTGGAAGGATCGCCTGAGCCCAGCAGGCCGAGGCCGTGAGCGTGCCCCTGCCCTCCAGCCTGGGCGACACAATGAGACTGACTCAAAAAAAAACAAACAAAAAGAAAGGAAACTCAACCTCGGTTGAGTCGTGGTGTCCATCTTTTGAGAGGACTGCTTTAAAAAGATACATTGCCAAAGAGCTCCCCGGTTGTTTCTCGTATCCAGTCTCCTCCGAAATAACAGGTATTCCGTCATGTGTGGTATTTTATTTGAAATAGACGATAAGCTGGGCACAGGGTCTCCGGGAGGCCAGGGTGGGAGGATCGCTCGAGCCCAGGATGTTCGAGACCAGGCTGAGCAGAATAGCGAGACTTCGCCTCTATAAAAATAAAAAATTAGCTGGACGTGGGGGCACGTGCCTGGAGTCCCAGCTGCTCGGACTTCAGGAGGTCGAGGAGCCCAGGAGGTTGAGGCTGCAGTGAGCCCTGATGGTGCTGCCGCACTCCTGTCTGGGTGAGTGACAGAGAGAGAGAGAGACCCTGACTCCAAAAAAAAAAAAAAAAATCTTGGACAGTAAGGTTTGGAAGGTTAGTGAGCACTTTGTTGTGCTCAGTGGATACCCAGAGAGAGCATGGAAGTCCTGTATAACCTGCCCCACTCTAGCCCATGTCTTCTATTTGGGTGTTCAGGAGTTATAGCCTCTTTAAAACATTGTTCAGTGTAAGTAAAGTGATTTCTTGTGTTCTGTGAGTCATCCTCAAAATGATCAACACAGGAAGGGTTTTGGGGACCCTGGAACCTGCATCCAAGTGGGACTGAAGTCCAAAGGGCCTGGGGAACTGGGGCTTGCAACTGGTGTCCGGAGTAGGAGCAGCCTTGGGGGGCTGAGCCCTCTGGCCTCTAACTCCAAATAGTGTCAAAATAGAACTTAATCGTTGGGCGCCTGGTTGGTGTTGGAGAATCAGAGTTGGTGTCTAAGATTTGGAGGACTGATTGTTGATGTTGAGGAAAAACCCATGCAGAATGCAGTGTTTTTTTTTTTTCAGGCTAACCATGTTTTCCACAGTTAATATGTAATGCAGTCATTAGCATATGTTACATTCCCCGTATGATTCTGGATTTTCTGTGGACTGTGTTCTGCTCCACAGCTCTAGCTATTCAAGTACCAACACCATATTGTTTTGTTTACTATAGTTTTACAACATGTTTCAGAATTTGGTAGGACTAGGCCTCTTCTTCAGTCTTTTTCAGAATTTTTCTGACTATTTTTACATGTTTGTTTTTCTTTCCAGATGAATGATATAATTATCTAGTTTTAACAGTCTGTTGGTATTTTTTAATCACAGGTTGCTTTTAAAAAATACTATAACCATGTGTTACGTTTAAAAATAAAACACATGTTTTAATAGGTGGGATATCCCAAATTAAAGCAGGGTAGTAGAGATAGCAGAAGGCTGGGACTAGAGGCATTTCTCAAAATTGACAGAATTTCAAAACATGTGCTGCGTGGTTACCATTTGTACTCTAAGAGTCTGGTGAGGCCAAGGCATTCCCAGAAGTGGTGCAGGTTTGGAGTAGGGAGGAGGATTTGGGTAATGTTGTATTGATTATTCACTCCCTGAGGGTCTATTTTGTGTCAGGGTAGTTGCTTGGGGTAAACATATACACAGGAAAAGAGAAAGTCCTTGCCTTCAGCCTTCCCAATCTATTTAAGAGACATACATACAACACACAATATACACAGTGTAGTAAAGAGCTATCATGGAGGAATATTCTCAGTGCCAGGCCGCTAAGGAAGACCTTCTAAAGCAAATTTTTTTTAAATTAAATTTTATTTTTTATTACCAAAATAACACATCGTCATCATAGAAAAAAAACAAAAACAAGTAAGTATTAAGTTACTAGGGCAATCCCTTTGAGTCCCCTCCCACTGTGAGAGCTTTACTGTCCTTTCAATAAATCCTGCTTTCTAAAAAAAAAAAAAATTACTAATCTTACCACCCAGAGATAACAACCTGGTGATAGTTAGTTTTATGTGTCAACTTTGCAGGGTTACCTGTGCGATTATTTGTTTCTGTGAGGGTGTTTTGGATGAAATGAATATTTAAATCAGTGGGCTTGGATTAAAGCATTACTTTTCATAATGTGGGTGGTCCTCATCTAATCAGTTGAAGTCCATAGTGGAACAAAGACGTCACTATTATCAAGAAGAATTCTGCTAACAGACTGCCTTTGGACTTAAACTGCAACTCTTTCCTAGGTCTTCAGCCTGCCTGCTTACTTAGCAGATTTTGTACATATTATGCCTCCATAAATCAATCACATGAGCCAGTTCCTTAAATCTCCTTCTCCCGTGTGTGTGTGTGTGTGTGTGTGTGTGTGAGTGTGTGTGTGAATATATATATGTATGGGGGGACCCCTCCCCGAAAATAGGAATTCTTTTTGGAGGGCAGATCCCGTGTAGTACATACGGCTTCTACCACTAGGTAAGCGTTCTAGGAACTCATCGCACCTGTCAGCATCAGTGTACTAGCTACACTGTTGTGTTGTGAGAGGCCGCATTTAGCTATAGTGGATTTTTTTGGAGATGATGTCAACGTGTTTGCCCATCTCATGATGGGCGGTTTACACGAACAACCTACCCATACCGCACTGAGTGTTCAGCAGTTTTGGACCCAAAACAGCCTGACTCCTGTGCCCAACTCTCCCTATTCACCTGATCTCGCTCCAAGCGGCTTTTTTGTTTGTTTCCCCAGATAAAAAAAAGTCCTCAAAGGGAAATGCTTTGCCCTTGTAGAAGTGAAACCAAAAAATGGCAAAAGCACTAAAAGGCATTGAAATTGATGAGTTCAAGCCGGGCTCGGTGGCTCAGCCTGTAATCCTGCACCTTTGGGAGGCTGAGGTGAGTGGATTGCCTGAGCCCACGGGTTTGAGACCTGCCTGGGCAACTTGGCGAGACCTCATCTCTACAATAAATCAAAAATCAGCATGCCTGTAATTCCGGCTCCTTGGAAGGCTGAGGCAGAAGGATGGCTGGAGCCCAGCAGGTCGTGTCTGCGGTGGCCGGGAGTGGCCATTGCACTCCAGTCTGGACGACAGAGTGAGACTCCAACTCAAAAAAAAAAAATTGATGAGTTCAAAAACTGTTTTGAGTAGTGGAAAAATCATCTTGATAAGTATATTGCTTCAAACATAGTAATTTGAAGGTGATTGAAGTTTAAACATGTAAGAATAAATACACAATCTTTTAATAAATAAATTCTGGGTTTTTAAAAAAAAATCTCCCTTGTATATGATCTCCCCCTTTTTCTTTTTTTCTTTTTTTTTTTTTGAGTTAGAGTCTCACTCTGTCATCCAGGCTGGAGTGCAGTGGCACACTCATGGCCACCCCAGCATTGACCTGCTGGACGCTGGCGATCCTTCTGCCTCAGCCTTCCAAGTAGCTGGAGCTACCGGTGCGCGCTACCATGCCCAATTAATTTTTGATGTATTGTAGAGATGTTCCTCAGGCTGGTCTGGAATATGCAGGCTCAAGCAGTCCACTCGTCTGGGTCTCCCAAAGTGCTGGGATTACAGGCTGAGCCACTGAGCTCAGCCAATCTCCTTTTCTTCATTTAAAAAACAAAAAAGGAACTGGGCTTGGTGGCTCAGCGTGTAATCCTGCGCCTTTGGGAGGCTGAGGTGAATGAATTGCCTGAGCCCACGGGTTCGAGACCTGCCTGGGCAGCGAGACCTCATCTCTACAATAAATCAAAAA